GACGGGGCGCGCTGCCTTGTAGCCTCCTCCGGGGCAGCGCGTCCCCCCGGCGGCTCTGCAGCCGGCGGGGAAGGGGCACGGGGCCGGGGAGCAGAGGGACAGGGGCAGGGGCAAGGGCAGGGGCGGCGCGCTTCGGGCTTCCTCACACTCGTCTCCCCTGCCTCTCACACACCTCGCACCCCGCGGTCTGCACGCACAAGCACACACACACATCCACACACATATGCACACGCATGCACACATGCAAGCACACAGGTGTTCGCACACACATGCACACATATACACGCAGGGGGTGGCTTCAGACCAAGGTTCAAAATCTGAACTGGCCCCTGGTCACAGCATGCCTAGGCTGCTCTTTTCACCTGTCTCACTCAGTCCCCTAAACATGATGGGCCTCATTCTCAACCTGTTTTTTTTTTCCAAGGGAGGTCTCCCAGACTCATGGAAGTGAGGTTCAGGGAAAGGCTGTAGTCTGCTCCCCCGTTTCAGTTTCCAGGTGAGAGACACAAGGAGAGGGACAGGATGCATCTCACACAGAGACACACTCTCACACATTAGTTTGGGGGGTTAGTGACAGTGACAGAGTTCAAGAGATTTTTTTTTTTTAATCAAAATAACTTTTTCTCTCTGCTTACTTTCATGATTCAGTATTTTGGAGAAAAAATATTTATGATAATAAAAGCAAGAGGAAGCCTGTAGGCAATGGAGCTGAAATGAGATGCAACTGAGAGGCATGTTAGCAGCACTGGGGGCAAAGTGGGCAGCACTTGCTCAGCTTTGCTGCTGTTTGTCAAGATTACTAAAGTGCAAAAAAATCAAATCCTTCAATAGTTTCTTGATTTAAGCTAGACAGAGCCATACAATAAGCAATACTGGTCAACTGGCCTGAATTCGGTTTTAAATCATCAGACAGTATTCTTTCTGTATTTTAACAGCTTACATCAAAATTTAAAAAAACAAATCACATGGAAACTTTTCATGTAATGAAAAGATCTCGCACTGAAGGGAATGAATAATATGAAAGGCATTAATCCTTCTTATGCAAGTAGCATCACAAGCTATCGCTTATTAATGCCATGTATAACACAAAGTGAAATGCTTTTTTTCCCACTGGAGTAAAACATTGGTGAACCCATTCATTCTTGGTGTTCTTATTAAAGTGGTCTTCCAGATTTTGATGCTTATGGTTTTGCCACTGACAAAATACCAGATTCCTATTTTAATATCTGCCAAACGTGTTTTTTGTTCTGTCGATGTTAGAGTGTTTGTGTAATGGAAGTTTGGGAGGGGAAGGAGGGAGTTATCTGCTTATAACTCCACTGCTCCTGGACGAGTTATGTTGGGGATGAAGTTGGTGGGAATGGGAAAGACTTAGGAAAAACTTGAGAAACTGATGGTATATATTAAAGCAAATGGCATTAATATTTTCTCTCCCTTAAAATAAATGTCATGCTCATGAAGGTGCTAGATGGATCACCAGTCAGAGAGATGGAAACCTTCTGTTTTCCATACTGCAGAGACAGTGCATCCTACCGGACAAGGCACTGGGCTATAACTCATGAGCTCTTTTCTTAGCTCTGTCATTTACCTGTTAGGTCACTTGGGCAAGTCACTTCACTGCTCTGTACCAGTTTCCAGACCACTAAAATTGGGATAATGCCACTTTCTTCCTTGGTGAAGCACTTAGAGATCTGCGCTTGGAAAGAACAATAGCAGAGACAGACCTTGTTACTCATTGTGCACTTCCTCAATAGTAGCGCTGTGAGCTTGTCCCATATAGCACACCATTGGCAGAGGACCAGAATCTCACCTCTGCCTTGTATAGATTTGGGTCTACATGGTCTACCAAACCTTTAAACTCTGTCCTGAGACAGCCATTAAGAAAGTTAATAACTGATAACTGTGATGGCAACTTCTCTAAAGTGGACACTTGTCCTACTGGGAAGAAGACTGGGAATCTAGGCAATCTAAATAGCCATTAGATGGAACAAGTGTCCACATCAAAGACAATCCTACCACTAAACTGGGATACACTTGACCATAGTGAGCAAGAGAGCTGAAAGTTTCTATAGTTTGTTCCTTGAGACACTCTCCTGGTTCCCTATCAGCAATGAAAACAGCAGCTCCAGGCAATTCCATGACACCTGGCCTCACACCCAAAAGAGTTCTTCAGAGAACTCTCTTTGAGTCACATCCCAAGCAGTGCGTTATTTTACACTCTTCCCACGCGGAATGTGCATAGCTCAGACAGCCCCATTAGGTCTGCATTCAGGAGACAGCCAGTTAGCAATGTTTCACAGAAATGAGAAATCTGATACCTGTTATTTGACTCAATAGCTTGGGTGAAATGAATCCTTTCTGTGGCAGACAAGGTTCCTTGGGTGAATTTGATATCTTTTATTAGACCAACCCAAATGGTTGGAGAATAGTTATTAAGCAAGCTTTCGGGTTCAAAAACCCTTCGTCAGGCTAAGGAAGCTTCAGCAGTTGGTGTGTGCTCTTCCTGGATGGAATGAAAAGTAAAGAAGCCAGGGGCTGGGCTGGGCTGGGGAGTCAGTTGCCAGGCAGATTGTAATGTATCAAAAATCCAATGTCTATGTTTAGTCCCTGATCTCTAGTATCCAGCAGGTTGATGAAATGGAGCTCATAGGCTCGTCTCTGGGAAGTGTTGTGTAAGTTTCCCTTGAGGATCAGGACTGAGAGATTGGAGAGAGAGTGGCCCTCCTGTGAGAAATGTGCCCCCACCGGTAATTGGGTGTTTCTGTCTTTGATGGATTTCCGGTGTGCGTTCATTCTGGTGCGCAGTTGTTGTCTGGTCTCTCCTACATATCTTCCGTCAGGGTATTTGGTACATTGGATGAGGTATACTACATTCTTGGAGGTGCAGCTGTAAGATCCTGGGATGCTGATGGCTCTGTTGTGGGGTGTAGTAATAGTGGAGGTGGTGGAGATGTGTTGGCACGTTTTGCATTTCTTGTCATGGCACAGTCTGGATCCTTTTGGTGTGTTCTGGGCTTGAGGAAGTTTGCTGCTGGTGATGAGATTGGCGAGGTTCGGTGCTTGTTTGAAGGCTAGGATGGACATCTCTGGGAAGATCTTTTTAAGAATAGGGTCTTTTTCTAATATGGGTTGCAATTTTTTGAGGATTTTCCATACAGGTTCAAGGGAT